ATGAAGAGGTTAAAATGGCTGATGTGTAAAATGATTTAAAGCCATCATATGAAGCAACGGCACAACTAACTAGATTGGAGGAAATCTAACCATTTAACCAGTAGTCCACCTACACAATGTTAAAATAGGAATACAGATTCTTTTTTAAAGCCTGGGTTGAAGAGCTTATCTGGCCTTGTGCAAAAAAGAGGCCAAATGTTTTGAGACATTGGAATTTGCTTTGCGGCAAAATGGGAAAGGAGCAGGGCTGAAACCATAAGTATTTTACTGAGATGGGGACAATGCTGAATAGATGAGCCTTTTCTAGTTCATAGATGTCCTATACAGGAATAAAATGCTCTGGTTAAATCACACATTGGTAAATAAAATTTTACACATCTAAACAGTGTTCTTTACAGCCTCTTCTCCCTACATGTTTAACCATAGAGGTCCAATTTCATGCCCACTTCCTTTTATACATAAGAGGTATTCACTACCATACTCTAGCTTTGTAGAGGAATACACGTGTTCCATTTTTACTTGGGTTTAAGTCCTATGTAAATATCTCTTTTTCTTCTTTTTTGGTAGATGAATATGTAGTTATTCTTTGTCAGAAAATGAGAAGTGTTTCCTAACATGTTCAACTATTTTCTTAGCTGACTCATTAGAGCTAAATGTAGTTTTCCAGTTATTTACAGGATCAGGGCTAACATTTAATTTTCATCGCCAAACCATCATAAATTCTATTAGAAACACAGAGGAAATATGCATGTTAAAAATGTAATATGTAATAGGCTATTCTTTTATATGAATCTTATAAAAACATTAAATAAAATAACCCCTCTCCTATTTAATTCAATCATCTATCTTCTAAATATGGATTTTTCTTTTGCATGTTTTAGTTTTCTTAGTAGATGTCATCATGGGTAGAGAAATGTAGCGAGAGTCCTTCTGGATTGACACTAAATGGCTACAAGCCACTTTCTCAGTCCCATAGGTGAGGCCATTCAGATCTTCCTATCTCTTATGATTCCGTTTCAATACTTTCAAGTATCCTGAACTTATTAGATAAAGTACAATTTATAGGATTATTTGGGGCTAGCATAAATATGACACTTTCTGCTGTGGACTGTGATTATGGTAGAGTGCCATGACATTCTACTTAAAATAGTCCCATTTACTTACCTATATCCAAATTCCCTGATACTTGCTCCTGTGTGTGCCTCAGAAATGCAATGCAGAACATTTGGCCATACTTTTCATTTAGAACTAAAATATCATGTTTAGTTCACCAAATTTTCTACTGAGATTAAGAGGTAGGAGAGTATTTTTCCTCTGAAAAGTTAAAGCATTAATCAAAGCCAGTTGGAAATATTTCATGATTGAAATGCAAGTAGGATGGCTCAAGAAAAAAAAAAATTAGCACTCACAGGAGGAGAAGGCAGGAAAGGATTGGTTGAACCAGTGTTTTCAAACTTTGTATGATCCACAGAAAGAAAGACATATGTGTGTGTATATGACAGTACAATGCTTACCACCTGCAGTGCCCTCAGATATTTTTCTATTCCATTTCATTTTGTAAAATACTGATTAACTAATTTTTTTTTCTTTGAGACAGGGTCTTGTTATGTAGATTATGCTGGTCCTGAACTCACCATGTAGCCCAGGCTGACCTCAAACTCACAGCGATCCTCCTGCCTCAGCTCTTCAGCTTCCTGAGTGTTGGGATTACAGCAGTAAGCCACCACACCTGGCAATAAACTAGTTTTGAGAAATTTTGTGATCTCACCATTCAGTAGGTTATGAATCGTGGCTTGAAAACCATTGAGATATGGCTTACAATTCTGAAAATCATCAGACTTGAGATATATGGGAACACTGACTGCTCGCTGTTGCTTACCAGATCATTTCTCAATAACATTTACCTCTTGCTTTTTGAAAGCAGGCTTGTCTTCTTGGGACTTTTGTTTTTGAGCTTGCCCTTTAGCTTCCCTTTCTTCTTCCTTTTCATTTTCAAGAGTAGTTAAGGTCACTCAGGTAAAAGCAGCCCTTTCTTGCTTGCAAGAGTGAGAGGTGTTCAGATCACTGCACATGTGCTGTGGGACGGCTTGCCTTTGGCTGTCTTAGTGCCTCAGTTACAGCCTTGGTGCCAGTGGTTTTACAGAGTGACCAGGGTCTTTAAATGTGCCTCTTGTTGTGGTCCCTCAAATCTAGCATGGCATGGCATACTTCATGTGTTTTTACAAACCTTGTGTGTGGCTTGATGCACTTTGCATATGATCATCTCAGTTATAGCCATGTGCATGAGCTTTTCTTGTACCGAAAGAAGCAGAGTGAAAGGCAGCTTCAGCTCAGTGACAGAGTTTGCTCTGAAAAGGTGAGCATGCAAGTGTCTCTGTTTTCTTTTGGGAGGGTGTGGTGATGCTAGGTACAGTACTCTTAATGCAGCCTTGCAGACAGAAAGAAACTTTTGTAGTTTATACTCCTCTCTCCCCAATACCCCACCTCTACTTTTCCCACCCTTTTTCAGACCACAGGAATCTGTGTCCCAGACAGCAAAAGGAGCAGATGCATGCTCTTAATTACCTTTTAGTTATTGGCCCTATTCTTGAAGAGTCACTTTCTGCAAGTCTACATTAAACTCAGGTCTACATTAAACTCAGGTCTACATGATAGCAAAACATGGTTTTGAAATTTTTAAAATAAAAATTCCAAGTGGATCCTTTCCTCCTTTAATTTCCAGTTGACCACAGGTGGTTTATTTCTGCCTTCTTAAAATGAAAATTTATGGTCTTAAAATGACCATAATTTTTCTGTTTTTGTGATACTAAGGATTGAACCCAGGGTTTTCACACTGGGCTACATCCCCAGACTTATTTTACATTTTATCTTGTTAAGTCACCAAGTTGCTTAGGCTGGACTTGAACTTGGCTCGGCCTCCCAGAGTGCTGGGATCCCAGCCAGATGCCACCATGCCCAGCTGACCATAATGCTTTATGTCAATTTCTCACCCTGGTTTTTACAATTTTAAAATTTAATATCAAACACATAGGTAAGGTGGGAAATTAAGGGTTCTTGCCTCATGTAGACCTACAGATAAAGGAAAGATGTGAAAAAGAATGCATTCAGATGCAGATGCAGAAACATACATCAACACAGCACTGCCATATCCATCATGATTGGTTAATTCATTTTTGGTAGTCATAACAACCAGGCACAAAGCAATTCATCTCTTTCTGATTGGCCCAATAAATTTGGTTGATTATAAATTTAGCCATCCATCGATTGCTTTGTGCTTGCATATGGGTACGACCTGAAAAAAATGAATAACCTGCCAAATGATGAGGCATGTGAAATGTATGCGTGTGGCCTCTGTCCCAAATTTGATGTGCATTACATTTCTCATAAGTCACAGGCATCACACACTGGGTGCAAGTTGCTTACTGTACCTGTTTCTTTAGGACAGCGGTATGAGGTTTGTCTTCTTGCACTTTCTTTTCATTTACCCGTTTCCCCTCTCTTTTCTCTTGTACCTTCTCCCCTTTCATCTTTGTCTCTTGAATTTCATCCCTTTTCTCTTCTAGCCGCTCTTTTTGTTTTTGCTCTTCTATCCTAATCTTCTCCTCTGCCTTCGCCTTGGCTTTCTGCCTTTCCTCTGCTGCCTTTCTCTCCTCCGCGGCTTTTTTCTCCTCCGCGGCCCTTCTCTCCTCTGCAGCCCTTTTCTCTTCCTCCTTAATCTTTTCCCTCTCCTCTGCCTCCCTCCTTTCCCTTTCTTGAGCAGCTGCTTTTTCTTCTGCTTCGATTCTTGCTCTCTCTTCTATCTTTTTTTCTTGCTCAGCTTTAATTCTTTCTCTTTCTTCTGCTTCCAACCTTAGCCTCTCTGCCTTGGCTCTTTCTCTTTCTTCCTCTTCCTTTTCATTATGAGAAATCTCCCCTGAGCATTGGTCCCTCTCCTCCTCTAATTTATACTCTTCTGCACTGATCTGCCCATTTTTTAACACCATTACCACCTTTTCCTCTTGAGTTTCTGTTGTTTTCTCTTCTACCATCACCTCTACCTGATTTTCTCCAAGGCTCTCTTGCTTTGGCTTCTCTTCTTCCTCTTCTTCCTTTTCTTTTTCTTCTTTCTTTTTGTCTTCAGCATCCCTCCAGTCATTCTTCTGATAAGGCTTGGTGACAACCTCTGTTTCTTCCATCTCGTATCTTTCTTGGTGACTCTCCCTTTTTTCTTCTTTCTCGGTAGTCTCATTGTCTGCTGTATTGTTTTGCATTCTTTGGCTTGGCGGTGACAGACTGGAGTCTGTTATTGTTGGATCATACTCCTTCTGCCGCTCTAGGGCTTCCTGTAGACGTTTTTGGCGTCGCTCTTCTCTCCGAGCCAGACGCTCTAGTAATGCAGCCTCCTCATCACCTTCTGCCTGAGTGTTTGTGGTGGCTGGCTTGGCCTCCTCGTTGGGGATACTGTACAACAGAAAGAAAAACACCAAAGACAGCTTGCTAATTAATCAGTCAGCTACATTCACAGCCAGTGAATGACATCAGGATATCAGAAGACTATGCTTACACGTGTGTGGAGTGGACATTTCAGTACACACCTGCTTGGATTTCAATGGACCACATGCAGGTCTTTGCTTTTGGTCTTTCTGACATGTTCTCAATATGCTAGCGGTACTTTGGATATGAATGGCACTTAGGGCATCTCTCAAACAAAAATTAATGAACAGTAGTGTATGGATATTTTAGGTTCCCTTTCCTTCTGAGTTGGAGAACTCGGAGATACATGTTGCACTCCAGATCCCCACTGGGTAACTTGCTTGGTAATACCATTTGTATTTGGCTGCCTTCTCTTCCTGGACTCACTTCCCTACATCCCTCCAGAGTTTCCTGGGATTACAAATAAACTACTTGTACAGCAAATGTGTACTAATAAAAATAAGATAATTAAGAATCAGAGGAGCATTTTCTGTCCTCCTGGTCTCTGTCTCTCACCTAGATTAGAAGATTCTGTTCTTCCACAGGATTTCCAGAGTCACAGAAGAAAGGAAGACGGACTGGCTCCATCTAGTAGTTAGAAATACCCACACTGGACTGGGAAGAGTTACTGTGTCAAATTACTAAACTCTAGGGGCTTATTGTCACAGCAGCATTATCTTAACTGATATATACACTATCTACCTTCCTCGACAAGATGTTCATGTAAAAAAGGGCTTCTTGTCCTTTTTCTCTACCATGGATAAAGGTTAAATTTAATGTTGATTTTAAAAAAGAAAAGAAAATCTCTACAAAACCAAACTGTACCATGTCCATCATCTCCCTCACTCTTGTGGGATGCTGGGCACTGCCCAGGCCAGGGGTGTCAGTCTCTCTTGGCAGAAAACAACTAGTCATGTGACACCAGAATTGAGACCAGAGTTGGAAGCATGTGCCTTGCAATGTTTAGAAATGCCATCAGATTTCATGGTTTGTACCAAACTTGGCCCTTCTGATGTTCAAGTTCACTTAATTTTGGAAAAACACACTTCAAATTAAACAATGGAATACAGCAGAGCAAAGCTTAGATTTTAGGCCTTCTTGGCCTTAGCTGTTGCTGTTGGACTCTATCTCTATGAATTAGACTTGTTAAGGATTAAATGTCCACGAAAGACAAAGTCTTTAGAATTTAAGGGGAAAAATATACACACAAGGCTTTATGATCAACTGAATTCTAATAATGTTTAGAAATGTCCACAAAATTCCAGAGTGCTAGCCAGACTAAAATACATTTAAGAACCCAGCTGATTCCATTAAATCTTTCTTTGACTTTCTAAATCATGACAATTATCAGATGCTATGTGTGAATTAGAGCTATATAGCCACAAGGAGAATATGTCTTTTTGTAGCCAATTAATATGTCAGAGATAAGCTACACATTCTCAGACCTTAGTATGCTCTCCTGAAAAAGGAATTTTGAATTCAATCAACATCATTAAATAACTATAAAATGTGAAAGCAGAAGAGAAACACAAGTAGAAGCAAGACTTTAACAGCGGAAAAACTATAGACTTATTTTTAATCTTTTTAAGCTATTGTTGACTCTTCATTAATAATTAGATTCAGGAAAAGCCTCAGAATGCCATTTAAAACTTATTTTTTTTCTGTCCCTCATCCTTCAGTTAAAAAATACAAAGGCATTGGGTACTAATCTCCTCTGTAAGACTCTGATGACAATGACAGTCATTGAGTGCTTACTATGTGCAAGGCCCTGTGTGTTTTATATGCACTGTCACATAATTTCAAAACTATTTAATATCCTTTAATGGAAGGTACAATTTTTATTTCCACTTAGGTGAAGAAACACAGTAAGTAAAAGGCCACGTTGGGATTCAGATGAACCCCAGAGATCATACCCATGTCCCTTTACTATGCTCCCCAATTTGAGCTACTTCCCAAGGGATACGTTTTCTAGTTTTGTGCTTCTATGTAGGGAATAGTGGCATCCTAATGTCTGCATCAGCTTGATCGTCCAGTGTGATTTGTTGACCAACAAACAAGTTAGATTAATGAAAAAGGGCTGGGTTGGCTGAGAAAAGAATGCTTTTCTATCTAGAATCTGACAGATTCTATCCAAGAGACACAAGAGATTCCCCACTCTGAAGAGCACAGTACCTGTTCTGGGCATGAACCTCCACCTGGTCGGTCACCTGTCCCAAGGATTCCTCCTCTTGCTTCTGCCGCAGCCTTTCCTGTCGGGCTCGGCGGCGCCGTTCCCGGGCTGCCTCTTCTTCGTCATCATCATTTCTCTGATAGGCGATCCTGCAACGTTACAACGACAATCTCTTGAGCGTGCCAGTGGCAGCTGTTTTCACCAACTTCTTGGCAGGAGCACCCACTCCCTTTTCTGAACTTGGCTACCACAGAGTTTTAGCAAGATGGCCCATCCCTTGAATTTGGAGGTCCACTTGACCAATTTTCAATTTTTAGGGTATTTGAAAAACATTAATCCAGTGACTGCAGAGGGTAATTTACAACGATCAAATAACTGAAGCTACAAAATGTACACAAAGGTAGGCTGCGCCTAGGAACTGTGAGTGAGCACATTTAGATTTCTTCACTAAGCTGATAATCACATGTAAGACCAAGAAGCAGAAACCCAAAGTATTGAACCAAAAATAATAAAAATACTTATTAAAAAAGATTCAGTAGGTTATATGAATTATTTGTGTAGGCGATGTCACAAAGTACAGAAAAGAATCAAGTTATGCTACCAAATCAAGAATTTGGTGTTAAGAAACCTAAATGGCTTATTAAAATCAAGAGCAGGATATCTTCCTTGGTTGGATTCTCCCCCACCCACTGGAGACAAGAGATGCTACTGACAATTAGTGGGCACTTCAAAGTCAGTGCATTGTGAAGTGGAGGCAGCTCCCCCCAAGCACTCAGACTGTCCTCTAAAACATCCTTTGGTGTCCTGTCACCCACACGCTGGGCATAGCAGACACTCACAGGTGTATTTGGCTGGAAGCCTAAAGGCTGAGGCAGATGGAAGAGTCACAGAGGGATTCACATTAGTACCTTTTATTTAGATTTTATAATTTCATCTGAGGCAAATGCCTGTGTGAGGAAATTATACAATCAGTATTACTATTGTAGAAATATTTCCCTTATTACTTATTTCCAAATAAAGAATTGGGGCTGTGGAACTATAGATGCCCAAAGTCAAAAGGAAATGGCCTGCTAGGTTAATTTGACTACTTTTGGTGTAGATACAGAATGCCAGGAAGGTATGGTTAGAGCTGTTGGCTTAGGGTAGGCTGGCTTGAGGGGGCCACCATCTGGGAAGGGATGGAGATGAGGCTGGATTGTGGGAGCTGCTTTTTACCCTGCAAAGTTAAAGTATTTTTATTATAATCTTACTGCAAATAGAAATCTGTATACAGAAATCCAGATATGTAAATGTTTCATGTTAATAATCCTTTTTAAAATTGTGGTAAGAACACAACATAAGATCTACTTTCTTAGTAAATTCTAGTGTATAACACAGATTGTTAGAATATGTGGATAATTTTTATATAACTACAAAGCCAAAATAACTTGCCAATTAAAGAAAACCAAACATCAAAACCATACAACAGATACCAACAATCATTCACATGCATGATTGATGATGGTTTGCTCGTGTTAAATTTACAAACTGGGCATTCTTAGGCTTAGAGCTAAGATTTTATTTCATTTCTGTCATCTTTTGACTTTAATAATAGGAAAGCATTTTCACCTATGTGTCTTATAAAAAACAAGAATAAAAAATTTGAAGGTTAGTTTGCTCTTTGCTACTTCAGAAACCTGACTTCATATTACTAAAATCTGCCTGTGTACAGTATTTAAATGCCAATATAAATGAAGTATCATTTAGTAATGCTAGAAAATGGACTGGTAATTTTCCACAAATATGGAGAGAAGGGCAGTGTGTTGGAATTAATGGATGACTAGATTAGGACTTAGAAAACTTGGTTTCCAGAACTGATCTCTCAGGAACATGCAGCCTTTGATGACTCTGAGTTAAATTTCCTCATGTGTGTTTGACAGTGAAAAGACATAATGGATATATTATTACAAAAGCATTCTAAACTGCAATATTTTGTTGTTATCAGGAAAGTTTAGCTAAGGAGCTGCTTTGGGGGGAAAGATGAGTTCAATTTTAGAGTTTGTTGTTGAGTTTGAGGTGACAATATGACATGAGTTGAATGCTCTTTTCTAATTCAATCACATCATAGTTTGCAGTTAGAAGCTCTTCTCAGTGGTTTGGCTTTGAACTTTAGATTCTTGGCCTAGTATTCTTTTGGCTTATTTTTCAGGAGACAGCTTTCACCTCAGCAGAGAGAATGAACCCTTATAACTGGTTCCTAAGCTAATCAAACAGAAAGTCTTAATTTGCTCTTTTATCTCTATGAATTAGCTCTGAAGTCACAGCTATTACTTGGGACCTCTCTCTTCCAGGACAAGCAACAGACATAAAACCTCCATGTGGGGCATCCCTATGTCAAAGCAATACTCCTCTCTCTCCTGTGGGGATCTAATTTTGAGATCTCATTTCCCAGTGTATTTGAAAACATGAGATTTTCCATTTCTCCCCTCCACATACCCAGTGAGCCTCATGGCTGGGTGTTGTTGGCTTTTGCCTCTGACTTTTTTTCTTTTTTTGATACCAGGAATTGAACTCAGGCCCTTATGTTTGTGAAGTAGGCTGTGGAACCAACTGAGCCAAATCCCTGGCCCTTGCCTCTGACTTTTGACCAGGTCACAATTAACCTTCTTCTTAGATTTCCTATCAGAAGAGTGACCTAAACAACTCCTCTCCATTGTCTCTTCTCACCTATTGTAGTTTAAAATGTATTGATAATCCCTCCTCACTGAAAGGACTTTTCCTAAGATGCACAGTTCTAAAGGCAAACTTGTAAAGCTCTTTCACTAATACTAAGAAAGGAACGGGCCGGGAATGTAGCTCAGTGGTGCCTTGCCTGCCTTGCAAGCACAAGGTGCTGAGTCTCATCTCCAGTACCAAAAAAACTAAAAAAAAAAAAAAAAAAAAAA